GGATCCGCGTTATGTCGGATCCGCACTTACAAACGGGGCTTTTCTCGCCCCGGAGCTCACGGGCGGCGGATCGCCACACGTGTCCTCCGGGGCGAGAAAAGCTTCTCCCGGGCCCCCTGGTTTTCTGGGGGGGTCCAGCAAAGCCGCTGGACCCCCCCAGCAGACCAGGGAGACCGGGAGAAGCTTTTCTCGCCCCGGAGGACCCGGGTGGCGACCCGCCGCCCGTGAGCTCCGGGGCGAGAAAAGCCCCGTTCGTAAGTGCGGATCCGACATAAGTCGCATCCGCATAAGTCGGGGACTGCCTGTACTCGTACAGACTAACACGGCTGCCCCTCTGAAACTTTTGGTTATGGGGTGACTTATTTACAGTCTGTATATATCTAAATGTGGAATAAATATTTAATAATGGGTTCTTCAGCCTAACCAAAAAAAGGCAAAACACAATCCAGTGGCTGTCTAGCTTCAGCTTCCAAGTTCAGACTGGAAATGGGGCACAGTTTTTTAACAGTGAAACAATTGGACCATTTCATAGAATCCTAGGGCTGGAAGAGACCTCAGGAGGTCATTGAGTCCAACCCCTGCCCAAAGCAGGACCAATCCCAACTAAATCAACCCAGCCAGGGCTTTGTCAAGCTGGGACTTAAAAACCTCTAAGGCTGGAGATTCTAACACCTTCCTAGATAACAGATTCCAGTAGTTCACCACTCTCCTAGGAAAATAGTTTTTCCTAATATCCAACCAAGACCTCCCCCACTTGAGACAACTGCTCCTTCTGCCATCCGTCACTACTGAGAACAGCCTATCTCCATCCTCTTTAGAACGTCCCTTCAGGAAATTGTAGGCTGCTATCAAATCCTCCCTCACTTTTCTCTTCTGGAGACTAAATAGATCCAAATCCCTCAGTCTCTCCTCATAGGTTCTGTGCTCCAGTCCCCTAATCATTTTGGTTGCCCTCCGCTGGGCCCTTTCCAGTGCGTCCCAATCCTTACTATAGTGGGGGCCCAGAACTGGATGCAGTACTCCATATGTGGTCTCACCAGAGCTGAATCAAGGGGAATAATAACTTCTCTGGATCTGCTGGCAATGCTCCTCCCAATGCACCCTAATATGCCACTAGCCTTCTTGGCTACAAGGGCACACTGTTGACTCATATCCAGTTTCTCATCCACTGTAATCCCCAAGTCCTTTTCTGCTGAACTGCTGCTTAGCAGTCGGTCCCCAGTCCGTAACAATGCTTGGGATTCTTCCGTCCCAAGTGCAGGACTCTGCACTTGTCCTTGTTGAACCTCATCAGACTTCTTTTGGCCCAATCCTCCAATTTGTCTAGGTCAATCTGGACCCTATCCCTATCTTCCAAAGTATGTACCTCTCCCCCTAACTTAGTGTCATCCGCGAACTTGCTGAGGGTGCAATCCATCCCCTCATCCAGGTCATTAATAAAAATGTTGAACAAAACTGGCCCTAGAACCGATCCTTGGGGCACTCTGCTTGAAACCGACCACCAACCAGCATCGAGCCGTTGATCACTACCCATTGGGCCTGACAATCTAGCCAGTTTTCTGTCCACCTTATAGTCCATTTATCTAATCCACACTTCCTTAACTTGCTGGCAAGAATACTGTTTGTGATGGTATCAAAATATTTGCTAAAGTCAAGGTATAGCACCTTCACCGACTTCCCCATGTCCACAGAGCCAGTTACTTCATCTTAGAAGCTAATCAGGTTGGTCAGGCATGTCTAGCTTTTCTAGCTCTTAACTTGTTCTTTCTCTACTGAGGGCTGCCCATCTCCTTCCTGTACTGCGTTGCCTAGTGTCTGGGAAGACCAAAAAAGCATTGAGTATTTCTACTTTACTCACATCATCTGTCACTAGGTTACCTCCCTTATGCAGTAACACCCTCCCTGATCACCCTCTTATTGCTAACATGCCTGTAGAAACCTTTCTTGTTATCCTTCACATCCCTTGCTAGCTGTAATTCCAATTGCACTTCCGCCTTCCTGATTGCTTCCCTGCATTCTCGAGCAATATATTTATACTCCTCCCTAATCATCCCAGTTTCCACTTCTTGTAAGCTTCCTTTTTGTTTTTAAGTTCTCCAAGCATTTCCCTGGTAAGCAGCCCTGGTCGCCTGCCATTTTACCCAAGGTCATGGTGGATTCTCCACCCCTGGCAAGCTTTAAATGCAGATCCATGTTTTTCTTGAAGATATGCTCTAGGCCAGTGTTTCTTAAACTTTTTAAGACCGAGGAACATCAAACAGTATTTTTTTTGTTGCGCAAAAAAAAGGGGGGGAGGTTGGGAGAAGTTGTTGTGGGGGGAAGGAAAGGGCTGGGGGGAAATTAAGAAAAAAAGGTCACCTGCCCCTTTAAGGGCTGCCATTTTCAACTCTGTTCTCTGTGGCACACCTCCGACTGCCTCGCCGCACACCAGTGTGCCACGGACACAGTTGAAGAAACACTGCTCTAGGCATTATTTTAGGGCAGTTTGTCTAATCCAACCTCTAGTCCATCACAATGATCCTTTCTGGCCTCTGAGTCTGTGAAACCTCTCAACATTATGTGAAAATTAAAAAAAAAATGACTTAAACCGCATGAAAGGTTAATTTGTTCATCTTGGATAATGTCATAAATGTAGTCAGTTTCACTTCCTTTCTAGTCGCTTTCTGGTCATCTTGACACCTGACCATTCACTGTTGAGTGCTGATCAACAGAATAATAAATCAGGTTGAAAGCCTTGAATGTTTTTCCTGAAAAGTGATGATCCATGTGCAAGACATGTATACAAGTGTACATGCAGCTGCAGTGGGTGCATATGCAGTTGTCTTTGCGTGCACGTTTCTTTCACATGGAGTTTCATTGTCTTGGCCAAACTTTTTCAAGTCTTTCCATCTGACGCAATTATTGTTCATTGGTAATTGACAACTTTTGATGCATCACAAGACAGTTCTGAAGCAGATGAAGGGCCATTCAGCTCTGCAACCTCAGTTCTTCTTTTATTTGGGGACTATCCCCCAATTGTGTCTCTTTGCAGAACGGATTCACCAAGCTCAAGCTGCTGCAGCTAAGGCAAAGAAAGCCCTCCAGCAGAAGCCAAAACCTCCAGCCAAGATAGTAAGTTGCCTTGTGCAAGTGGGTGGCACAGAGAATTCAAGGAATAGGATGGCTTTGGGAATGGAACACTGAGCTTTTCAGCTTGATGGTACTGGTTCACATTTGAGTCCATGCCCATAGAACTGCAGATTATTACTGTCTGTTTCAGTTACATTCAAACATATAGAATGAATCTGAGAGACTCAGTCCAGTTCTTAGTGGACAATTGCCCACTCGCAAAACTCCCCACCACAGTTGGCACTAATGGTTCTCAGTAGTGGTGGGCTCAGTAGGGAGGCTAGTGAAATAGAGCTATTCATCCTTTCATAAAGCTCATTGGCTGGCCAGTGCATGCGACATTTCTCCTGCCACTGTCCATGTGTAGGTTAGCTATGGATAAATAGAGGATTTGGTTCTCCAAGGCTGTCCCTCCAGCATTTTGGATTAGCACTAAATAATTTTGAGCAAAATTATTTCCAGTTACCATTGCCAGCTGGCTAGTTTGCTAGGTATGTCTAACGTGGAAATAAGAGACTAAGAAATCTGCATCTATCCCCTACTACTGAAATGCAGTCACCCTGAAAAGCAGTTGCTGACACCTTGTGCCACATTGGGAGGGGAGGAGAATCATTAGTTTGTAACCTCAAGGTCCTGCTTTATGGAAGATGTTTTAAGGTTCATTTATATCTGCACAAAAAAGAGTGCCTCCATTTATTAAGGTCTCGCCCTGCACAGTGAACTACTATGCTTGTTTCCATACGGACCATCATCCCAGTTGTGCTCTTGTTGCAGAAATCTGGTAGCAAAGAGAGTTCAGTGAAAGTGTTCCCCAGTAGCACTTCAGAGCCAAGCCAGCTGAGCCTCAGTGACTCCAGCATGCCACCCACCCCTGTGACTCCAGTGACACCCACCACACCAGTATTGCCAGCAACACCCATTTCACCTCCTCCCGTCTCTGTGGTTAGCAAGACTATTCAAAGTGTTGGGCCAGAGCCAGCTAAACCAAGCCAAAGGTAATGCTTCCCCTGCACTCCTGTGTGTTCCTGTGATAGCAGAGAACAAGCCCAATTGTTGCTTACTGTTGTCTTCTCTTACAGCTTCATTAACCTACTGACTTTCCATTTCCCCACAGTGTTCTCTTGGTGTCATCTCCTCCCATGCCTCAGCTTGGGACGCTGCTCTCCACAGCTCAGAGTGCGCAGACACAGGCTGGGCCACAGCCATCTCTAACCAGGGTGGTAAGCCATACTTCCGCTTCCTCAGGCCTCCCACAGGTCCGAGTGGTCACTGCGCAGTCCAGCCTTCCATCTGTGACTCAGCAAGCCGCAGCGGTAACTCAGCAGCAGCAACCTGTGTCAGTGCCTCAGATCCGTGCTCCAGCTATGTCCACGCAAACAAAAGTACCATCTCAGGTGAGAATAACCATGGTGAGACAATTCAAGTACTGTTCACCCTGATGAGTCCCATAGTGCTCTGGAGGTGATCTATACAAATCACTCACCAGCTGCTAACAAGCAATCAGATGTGAGGTAGTTTACAGAGATAAAAGGCCAGAAACATGGCTGAAGACAGACAAGACAAAAGAAGGGAAGAACAGAGCAACAGTTCAGGGAAGGATACAACACTGAGATGAGAGAGGTTCCTGGAAAAAGTGGGTTTTAAGGAGGGATTTAAGAGGTATTTAGTGGAGATTAGAGGAGACTATTTCAGGGTTAAGAGGCAGCACAGTACAAAGAGAACACATCTGAGAATCAGAATGATGGAGGGGAGTAGATGGAAGAGAAGAGAAAAGCAGGACCGACAAGATTGTGTAGGGATGTGGAGTTAAAATGTAAGACCCTGGAGATTAGTAGGTGAGTGGCAGGAGCCTGTGAAAGGATTCAGATTAAATATGGCGCATGTGCTGAGTGGCAGAAGAGGAAGTGATGGTTACAATGATGAGAGTTGTCTATGATCTTTGGAGACTGTCACCTTGTTCTGCTTGTGCAGCATTGAGCACAACAGGTCCTGACTCCTGGCTGGGGCTCCTACTGCAATACAAATTACTGCTAAGTGATAAAGGCAAGAGATGACACAGGCTTTAGAAATGGAGACTGTCAGCTTATTTAAACGAGGCAAAACTGTTGTTGTGGGTACAGCATTTTGGCCCAATAAACCTGGCAGTGCACACCTTTGCTGTGTTTCCAGCCTTCTTAAAGAAGAGTTTCAAGGAGAGATGTAGCAAGTGGAGACACATAGGACAGAGCAGGGAGAAGAGTCCCAGGCGTCTTAGACAGTGTGAAGATAAGGGCACACTATGTATTTTTTGCCTTTGCTTTTTACATTAGACTGTAATGACGGTACCAGTGAAAGCCCAAACAAGCCCAGTGCCATTGCAACGACCGGGAGCATCTTCAACAGGACAGGCAGGTATCGCTGTGACGGCACTCTCTGCAGCACCCAGCCCCACTACAAAGCCAGCAGCTAGCTCTCCAGGCAGTTCTGCACCAGTCTCCTCCTCTTCCACCACTGTTGTTCAGAACGTAGCTGGCCAGAACATCATCAAGCAGGTGAGAGGAGCAAATGGGGAGGTGGACTGTTACTCTTCTGTTTCTTACAGCTTAATAGAGGGCTTAGGCATCCAGATGTGCAAGGTCTAGTAGAAAATGACATCAAGTTTCTTACTACTAGGTTTTGTTGCCCAGGCAAATTCAGACTGCTGTATTTGGGCCATTTTTTCAAATTCCAGGGTGTGTGCTTGGTCTCACTGCAAGTGTAGATGTGGGGTGTTTGTGTGTATGCAACATACAGACCCCAAATGGACATGAGAAAATAAAAATGGCCATACTGGGTCAGACCAAAGGTCCATCTAGCCCAGTATCCTGTCTGCTGACAGCGGCCAATGCCAAGTGCCCCAGCACCGAAGACAAAGATCAAGCGATTTGCCTCCTTCCATCCCTCTCCAGCCTTTGAAAAACAGAGGCCAGGGTCACCATTCCTTACCCCCTGGCTAATAGCCTTTTATGGACCCAACCTCCATGAATTTATCTAGCTTTTTTTTTTAAACTCTGTTATAGTCCTAGCTTTCACAGCCTCCTCTGGCAAGGTGTTTCACAGGTTGACTGTGCACTGTGTGAAGAAGAACTTTCTTTTATTAGTTTTAAACCTGCTCCCCATTAATTTCATTTGGTGTCCTCTAGTTCTTCTATTATGGGAACAAGTAAATAACTTTTCTTTATTCACCCTCTCCACACCGATCATGATTTTATATACTTCTATCATATCCCCCATCAGTCTCCTCTTTTCTAAACTGAAAAGTCCCAGTCTCTTTACCATCTCCTCATGAGACCCGTTACAAATCCCTAATAATTTTAGTTGCCCTTCTCTGAACCTTTTCTAATGCCAAAATATCTTTTTTGAGGTGAGGAGACCACATCTGTACACAGTATTCAAGATGTGGGCATACCATAGTTTTATAAAGGGGCAGTAAGATATTCTTCGTCTTCCTTTCCATCCCTTTTTTAATAATTCCTAGCATCCTATTTGCTTTTTTGACCGCCGCTGCACACTGCGTGGAAGTTTTCAGAGAACTATCCACGATAACTCCAAGATCTCTTTCCTGATTAGTTGTAGCCAAATTAGCCCCCATCATACTGTACGTATAGCTGGGGTTATTTTTCCCGATGTGCATTACTTTACACTTATCCACATTAAATTTCTTTTGCCATTTTGTTGCCCAATCACTCAGTTTGGTGAGATCTTTTAGAAGTTCTTCACAGTCTGCTTTGGTCTTCACTATCTTGAACAGTTTAGTATCATCCACAAACTTTGCCACCTCCCTGCTTACCCCTTTCTCTAGATAGTTTATGAATAAGTTGAATAGAATTGGTCCTAGGACTGACCCTTAGGGAACATCACTGAGTTACACCTCTCCATTCTGAAAATTTACCATTTATTCCTACCCTTTGTTTTCTGTCTTTTAACCAGTTCTCAATCCATGAAAGAATCTTCTCTCTTATCCCATGTCAACCGAATTTACACAAGAGCCTTTGGTGAGGGACCTTGTCAAAGGCTTTCTGGAAATCTAAGTATACTTTATCTACTGGATCCCCCTTGTCCATGTTTGTTAACCCCTTCAAAGAACTCTAATAGATATGATTTCCCTTTACAGAAACCACCCCTTGTCCGCTTGTTTAACTCCTTCAAAGAACTCTAATAGATTAGTAAGACATGATTTCCTTTACAGAAACCATGTTGACTTTTGCCCAACAAATTATGTTCTTCTGCATGTCTGACAATTTTATTCTTTACTATTGTTTCAGCTAATTTGCCCGGTACTGATGTTAGATTTACCGGTCTGTAATTGCCAGGGTCGCCTCTAGAGCCCTTTTTAAATATTGGCATTATGTTAAGCTGTCTTCCAGTCCTTGGGTACTGAAGCTGATTTAAAGGATAGCTTACAAACCACTGTTAATAGTTCTGCAATTTCACATTTGAGTTCTTTCAGAACCCTTGGGTGAATGCCATCCGGTCATAGTGATTTGCTACTGTTCAGTTTTTTTCAATTTGTTCCAAAACCACCTCTACTGATACTTCAGTCCGGGACAGTTCCTCAGATTCAGTATGCACAAAGGAATGTTCAGGTTTGGGAATCTCCCTAACATCTTCAGCCGTGAAGACTGAAGCAAAGAAATCATTGAGTCTCTCCACAATGACTTTATTGTTCTTGATTGCTCCTTTTATATCTCGATCATCCTGGGGCTCCGTTGGTTTTTTAGCTAGCTTCCTGCTTTTAATGTACTTTAAAAATGTTTTGTTATTACTTTTTGAGTTTTTGGCTAACTGTTCCTCAAAATCTTTTTTGGCTTTTCTTATTACATTTTTACACTTAATTTGGCAGTGTTTATGTTCTTTTCCATTTACCTCACAAGGATTGAACTTCCACTTTTTAAAAGATGCCTTTTTTATCTCTCACTGCTTCTTTTACATGGTTGGTTAGCCACGGTGGCTCTTTTTTAGGTCTTTTACTATATTTTTAAATTTGGGGTATACATTTAAGTTGGGCCTCTGTTATGGTGTCTTTGAAAAGTTTCCATGCAGCTTGCAGGGATTTTACTCTAGTCACTGTACCTTTTAATTTCTGTTTAACTAAGCTCCTCATTTTTGCGTAATTCCCCCTTTTTAAATTACATACCAGAGTGTTGGACTGCTGAAGTGTTCTTCCCACCACAGGAATGTTAAATGTTGTTATATTATGGTCACTATTTCCAAGCGGTCCTGTAATAGTTACTTCCTGGACCAGATCCTGTGCTCCACTCAGTACTAAATCGAGAATTGCCTCTCCCCTTGTGGGTTCCTGTACCAGCTTCTCCAAGAAGCAATAACCATATATACCAAAGGATACAATTAAAAAAAATGAACACATATGAAAAGGACAAATCACATTTCAGAACAGAAGAGGGATGCGGGGGAGGGAAAGGAAGGTAAGTATCTGTGAGTTAATGAAATTAGAGGTGGGGAAAGTTAGATGTCTGTGAGCTAATGGTATTAGAGGTGATAATTGGGGAAGCTATCCTGGTAATGGGTAAGATAGTTGGGGTCTTTGTTCAATCTGCCCCCCCGGAGAGTGTCGAATTTTAAAATTCATTAACTCACAGATACTTACCTTCCCCCCCCCCCCCCCCCCCCCCCCCCACTTTTATGTGCAGTTTGTATTCCTTTGGAGACAGAGGGAAATGATTCCTGTGAATCTTGGGGCACTACAGCACTCGGTCGGTGAGTTTGCACCCCAGGGATCGGCAGGGTATGGCCTTCCCACTACATCACACCATATATACCTATTTTTTAGACTTTTTTCATTGTATTCCTTTGGTATATACGGTCATGCCAATTCTCTTCCAGAATCAGATCAAAGGAAGTGGGTCTGGCCCACGAAAACTCATCACCTAATAAACCATCTTGCTAGTCTTTAAAGTGCTACATAGTCCTGCATTTTACTTCAGCTACACCAGACTAACACGGCTACATTTCTATTACTATTCCAAGAAGCAGTCACTAAAGACATTGAGAAATTTTATCTCTGCATCTGACATGTACCCAGTCAATATGAGGATAATTGAAATCCCCTATTATTATTGGCTGTCAAAATAAAAAAGTCTCTCTAATCACCCTTAGCATTTCAACGTCACTGTCACTGTCCTGGTCAGGTGGTCGATAATATAGCCCTACTGATAAAGTCTTATTAGAGCATGGAATTGCTATCATAGTGATTTTATGGAACATTTTGATTCATTTAAGATTTTTACTTCATTTGATTCTACATTCTTTCACATATAGTGCCACTCCGCCACCCACATGACCTGTTCTGTCCTTCTGATATATTTTATATCCTGGTATGATTGTGTCCCACTGATTGTCCTCCTTCCACCAGGTTTCTGTGATGCCTATTATGTCAATCTCCTCCTTTAATACGAGGTACTCTAGTTCACCCATCTTATTAGTTAGACTTCTAGCATTTGTGGCAAAAAATTGTTTAAGTCTCGGCTTGAGAGAGCCCTGGCAGGGTTGATTTAGTTGGGATTGGTCCTGCCTAGAGCAGGGGGCTGGACTTGATGACCTTCTGAGGTCTCTTCCAGTTCTATGATTCTGTTTATTTGTCTTCTCTTCCCTGATGTATTAGATTCTTTTATATGTGATTGTTTGTCTGATCTGGCCCATACTTTATCATCTTCCCCCTCCTCTCTTTCTGACTAAAACCTAGAGAATCTCCACCAATGGACTCTCCTCTAAGAGAAGTCCATGTGCTCCCTCCCACCAATCAGCTTTCCCCCATCTCTTAGTTTAAAAACTTCTGACTCCTTTGATAACCAGCCCAGGAGCCATAGATATTCCCTTCCCCTCCCCTCAGCTTGATTGAAAGCTGGTATCTATTAGCTCTCAATCTCTGATGTGAGAGGGGGGGAAAGAGGTGCCACCTACTGAGTAGTGACACTATTTCCATCTGCAAGGTGCTCTTTAGCACCCTGTTAGGGAATTGGTTCCATTCTGATGGGGAAGAGGAAAGAAGAGTGCCATCTGCTGAACATCAGCCTGTTGGAAAGTTTTGATTGTGTGTAGCTACGTCTTGGGCCATTTGCTGATTGACTAACATATTTGTGTCTCTTTGGCCTTTCAGGTGGCTATTACAGGGCAACTTGGCATGAAGACACAGCCTGGAAGTGGCATCCCGCTCACAACTACTAACTTCCGGATCCAAGGCAAGGATGTGCTGCGCCTGCCTCCCTCCTCCATCACCACGGATGCCAAAGGACAGACTGTGCTGCGCATCACCCCAGACATGATGGCCACCCTCGCCAAGTCCCAAGTCACCACTGTCAAATTGACTCAGGACCTCTTTGCAGCTGCCACGGGAAGCAGCGCTACTGGGAAAGGCATCTCTGCAACGTTGCATGTGACATCCAATCCTGTCCAGTCTGCTGATTCCCCAGCCAAGACTAGCACAGCCACTTCTGCTTCTCCGAGCCCCACTGGGACCCCAGTGGTTAAAGTGACACCTGAGCCAAAGACTGCGGAGTCGACCGGCTCAGCTTTCAGACTGATGCCCGCTCTGGGAATGACTATGGCAGACCAGAAGGGCAAAGCCATTACCACAATGGCATCCACTGAGGCTAAGCCTGCTGCCACCATAAGAATTGTTCAAGGACTAGGGGTTATGCCACCAAAAGCAGGGCAGACGATTACTGTAGCCACTCATGCAAAGCAAGTGCCCTCTTCCTCTGCAGTGAGCGTGCCTGGCACAGTTCATACCTCAGCGGTATCTTTACCCACTGTGAGTGCTGCGGTGTCCAAAGCAGTGGCTGTGGCCTGGGGAGCAGCTGGAGACCATAGGAACAGGAGCCACTGCGGTACGACAAGTGCCAGTGAGCACCACAGTCGTTTCCACTACCCAGGCAGTAAGTGACTCATGCTATTCCTTGTGGTGGGGGGCGAGAAGGGATAGTCTACTGAAACATCCCAGACCCCTTTTAAGTAGGGCACTAGCTGGTCTTTAAAGCATAGAACATTTTAGAATTAGCCAACTCATAAGAGTTATAGTGGGACCGCTAGGAAGCGCTGTGCCAGGAAGAGGAATGGCTTCTGGTCACTAGGAGGTAGGTTCAGTTAGGCCATCTGAACTGGTTCCAGCCCTCCTCTTCAGGCCAGGACAATGCACATTAGAACTGGGGTAGAAGCAGGAAGGTGTTATGGATCCTAGAGCTGCACTGTTCCGAGCTATTGTGACGGTCTGGGCCGTGTCTGGGCACAGCTGAGGGCGTCCGCTCAGGGTGAATTGCTCGAATCCGGGGCTCCTTACAGCCCCCCGACTGGTGACCTCTCCACACAGGCCACAAACTAGTCCCACAGAGTGCTTCAGCAGCCTGCCTGAAGCCTCACGAGCAAAACCCCTCCCACACCCCAGCAATAACCGTGCCCCAGATGGCCCCAGACCTCATACACAGGTGGGGGGTCCTAGCACCCAATCCCACCTACCCCGAACAAGTTCTGTCCGGTTCCAGGAAACCAGCCACAGATCTCTGGCCAATTTATCCTTTGGACCTTACCCACAAATCATGCTGGGCCAATCCTTTAGCATCTAACAACTAAAGGTTTATTAACACAAGAAAGAAAAGCATGAGAGTAAGGTTATTAAAGTACAGTACGTTACATGCACCGAATCTCCCAGTTCTCGGTGCAAGCTCCAACAGAGATGTTGCAGCTGCTGGTTTAAAAGTTCTTATTGCGCATCCTAAGATCAGGATGGGTCCACAGGGCTTTTGTGGCCTTCAATCCCTGCAATGCTGCCTCTGGGATGAAGTGCTGAGCTGAAGACAAAATGGCATCGACCACATGGCCTCTTTATACCTCCTTCCTGGCCTCTTCTAGTATGTAGCAGGTCACCTGGTCAGAGGCCAGTCTCTGTGTTTCCTGCTGGCTGCTCTCAGGTGACAGCCCCCATTCTTTGGGTGTGTCCATAGCCTATTGAGAGCCATTGTCCCACAGGGCCTCGGTAATTAGCATGTCCACAGGCTCGGCCCTGCCCAATGCTTAACCACATGCAGGGAAATCTTCAGTGTCCACACAAGTACATGCTAATAATTGCACACACAGACATTATACAAACACCAGAACAGCGTACATAGGATTAGCAGATAATCAGCTTCTATTCAATACCTCACATGGCCCCCTCCTATACCATTTTTGGAGCCAACACCCCCACCTATGGGTGCATCAGTGATCTGGCTGCTCCCCTCAAGATCCAGCAACGTGACAGCTATGTAAGCAGAGTGAGGCTTTGTGACTTCAGGGAAGATAACCCAGTCCAGATTCCTGATGATTTGGTAAGAGTGTGGGTTATGGAGTAAGACTGAGAGGGATGGAAGGAGTTTTTATCTAGCCCAGTGCCATATCAAGGGTCAGAAGGTTGGCAGAGCTGTTGTAAGAGAAGTGGAGAAAAGGAGGGAAATGGGGATTGAAATTACTTTCCTCTTCCCATTTCAACAAAGAGCTGTTTAGTGTTAGGGTGTCTCAATCAGTGTTGCTTTTAGGGATGTTAAGAAATGAGTAATCAGCTAATCGTGTAGTTGATAGAATTTCTGTTGACTACATGATTAGTAAATAGGGTTGGAAGCCAGGTTCCTACTACATTTAAACTGCAGATCTGCAGCACGTGTAGTTCCTGGACCTGGTACGAGTCGGTCCTGAGCCCCGGCTCGCACTGGGTCCATGGCCAGCTCCAAAGGCAGAGAAACGCAGTGGGCAAGCCCAGCAAGGGGCAGCCCATGGGTGGGTTTGATTTGGGATGCGGCTTCCCAGCACATCTCATTTACCTCCCATCCAGGCTCTGACGGCTGTGGGGTGGCGAGCACAGCAAGTGCTGCCCACTGCGCACATCCTACTGCCAGGAGGGGAAGCCAAAGATCTGCGGCATCCCCAGGTGGGCTGTCTGGGTTCTGGGAAAGCAAGGGGCACTTGATCCGCCTATTCGTGCCTCCAACCCGATAGAGCAAACTGCTGAAGCCATTTCAGGAGAGCAGCTCCCCTTGGCTGCTGATGTGACTGGGAGTGGCACCCAGGTACTGTGCAGGGTGGGCAGACCCCACCCAGTAATCGCAAGGCCAGGGCGGGTGGACAGTGGACACTGGGCCACAACCTGAGTGCTGCCCACACCCGCGGGAGCCCCACTTGGTCATTTGCCCTGCTCTACTTCGGGCTGCGGTGCGCCCAGGCTGAGCCACACAGCACCCGCCCACCTGAGACCCTGGCAAAGGGTGAGCTCCGGTCCCTGCCCCTGAGACCAGTGGGTTGCTGCCGCCAATGCTCAGTGTGTACTTCGGGGTCATTCCAGCTGAGCAGCACACCCCACCACACTGGCTCAGCTGCCAGAGCCTCCTCCCAGGTGCCCTCAGGGCCCGGCCAGGCTTCCTAAGTACCCAGCCTGGCTGGAGGCTCTGCCACTGCCTGTCTAGATCATGGCTCTGCACAACACTGGCAGTGGCATCGGCCTGGTTTGCCATGGGAGACCCACCCGTGAAGCGCCACCGGCTCAGCCAATGAGGCGAGTCTGCATTTCTCCGAGCCCAGCCTGGGAGCACCTGCCCAGGCTTCAGTCCTTGGCTCCTGACCCAATGCTGGGCAGCCCAGGCCCCTTCCCTGCCTGCCAGGTGTGAGCGGGATTCCTGGGAGTGCAGGGCCAGCCCAGCACATGGGATGGACAGAGAGTAGTCACAGCTGAGCTGCCCCCAGAGCAGCTGGTTCATTCCGGGTCCTTGATGAGGGGCGGGAGGTGGAAATGCAAGTAGAGCAGTCGAGTACTCGACAGACTACCCAGTAAGCCCTGGGGACTCTTGTGCATTTCAAAGCACGCACATGCGTGCAGCCCAGAGTCAGCGGGACTTCCCGCTGTCCCTGGGCTGTTCAAGGAGTTCCACATTCCTCCTTTGAAATGTACAAGAGCTCCCGCTGGGGCTCGTATACATTCCAAAGGAGGAATGCAGAAGTGCTATTGACTAGTCGATAGAAATTCTGTTGATTAGTCAATTAACTGCATTTTATCTTCCTTACCCTGGATTCTGCTGGCCACCAGGACAACAGACTGGAGACCCTTTGTTGTCTTAAATACACTGAAAACTTGTGTGGGTGGTTTTTTTTTAATTGAGTTCAGTATGAAAAAGAATAGTTGGATCCTTGTGGTTTTCCATCCTGTTCAATTTGATATTCAGCTCAGTATATTTTATGCTACCCTAGAAAGCATATTTTTTTTTAATATTCTAAAGAATTTTGTATAAAAATTGCACAACTATTATTGAAGCAGTTGCAGAAGTTAAAGGTTAGGCAGCTGAGTAGGGTACATATGGGGTTTGGGCTTCAGGAGTGATATGAGAAGCAGTCTGTTCCTGAAGCCTGGTACCAGGATAAGCAGTGAAATAAGTATAATTGACAAATGAATTTGCATCTTAAAATTCAGCATTAATTCATTACTGAGGTGAATGAGACCAGCTTACAGCTCTCAGATCCCATTGTTTCAAGCTCTCCATAGATTGGCAGATACCATTGCTTTGATATATGCTTGGTTAACATTTGGAAAGCTTTCTTTGCAGCCCCAAGGCCACGTCTACAGAGTAAGAATGTTAAATAACAAATAATTTAGTAGTCAATAGGCACTTTTGCATTCCTCCTTTGAAATGTACAAGAGCCATTATGCCAGCTTTGAAATGAACAAGAGTCCCCATGAAGCCCGGGGTCACTCCCTAGCTGACCCTGGGCTCTGTGCACTTTGAAATGCTGCTGCATGGAACCCAGTGTCAGCTGGGGAGTGACCCTGGGCTCCGCGCAGCGCTGACGTTTTGAAATGCTGCAGCAGCATTTCAAAGGGACAACACTGTACCTGATCCCAGACTCTGTGCAGTGCTGCTGTTTTGAAATGCCACCGTGGCATTTCAAAGGGGTAGTGCCACATGGAGCCCAGGATCAGCTCTGTGCAGCACTGCCCATTTGGAACGCAGCCACAGCATTTCAAAGCAGCAGTGCTGCATGGAGCTTTGAAGTACCCCTTCTCTCTCTTCTCCCCTCCTCCCCCCATTTTTGCTGCTTCTATCTGTTAGTGGCGGGGGAGGAGGGAGGAGAATCATCTAGTCAACTCAACTCTCCAATAAGCATTTGTTTATCAGATAGTCAACTAGTCCTTAATGTCATTACTACGGAGACCATGTCTATATTAAACAGGTCTGTGTGGCCAACTGCTCCCTGCCAGGGTTCTCTGATCCAAGGCCTCTCTGGTCCAGCAACATCCATGATCCTGCTGATTTCACCCTATAATGGCATAAATTCCTGTATCTTGTTGCTCAGCTCTACGAGCCTCTTTTGTATGTAATAGTATTCTCCAGAGCATTAACCACCTAGAATGGTGTCAGCTTTAGAATTTCATTTGGTGCTGCCTGCATTGAGCCAGGGATTCAGTAAGTTAACATCAGCACTTTTGTGTTTAATGCCCAAAGCCGTGCACCTAAAGCAAAGCCATTGTGAAGACGTAGGGTTGATCAAGCAGTAGGGTGAGGTGGTTAGAAGTTAGATTTCATCAGAAAAACTGAGAATTGTAAATTTTTACATCAGGACTTCAAGTGGCATCTGTATGTTTTCAGGTAGGCTCTTCACTGAATTCCCCATTACTCCCAGAATTGTCTAATATTCTTCCATTTCCCTAGGGTAAATTGCCAGCTCGAATCACGGTGCCTCTGTCAGTGATCAGCCAGCCAGTGAAAGGCAAGAACGTCGTGACAGCCCCCATCATCAAGGGCAACCTCGGGGCCAAGTGAGTAATGTGCAAACTTCCAGTTGTTCGAGTGATGTCCCCATGAGTGCTCCACGTAAAGTGTAGGGACGTTGCAGAGCCACGGAGCGGAGCTTTTTTTAGCAGCTGTCAGCAGGATGCACATGCGCATGGCAAACCTCGTGCTGCGTTTAGTATGGCACCTCACACACATGGACTGGCCCCCCTCACCCCTTCTTCAGTTCCTCTTCTGCTGTCCTTGGTCATGGACAGATCTCTTCATTCTCCTCAACAATTCTCCTCAGGGAGAAAAATCTGTCAGCTTTCCTTTTTCCTGTCAGTTTTTGCTCTTCTTTGACCACTGCTGCCTCATTCCTTTTAAAAATATATAATTTTTTTTCCCTGTCATTGCCTCACGGAGCTGCCGCTTGTGCCGGTGCCTGCTCCTCAGTCAGCCAGACACCCTGCCTCCCTCCCTCCCTCAAAAAATAAATAATGAAAATAATAAACAAATAAAAGCAGGTAGGCAACATTTGAAGAAGAGACGTGAAACAAACAGTGAAACATACGCAGTGACTCTCTCACCCCTTCAACCCACGTAGGCGGCGCAATGCTGTGTTCCTCTAGCTTTAAAAAACGTCAATCATGTCGAGAGCCCATAAGAACATAACATAAGAACGGCCGTACTGGGTCAGACCAAAGGTCCATCTAGCCCAGTAGCCTGTCTGCCGACAGTGGCCAGCACCAGGTGCTTCAGAGAGGGTGGACCGAAGACAATGATCAAGCGATTTGTCTCCTGCCATCCTTCTCCAGCCTCTGACTAACAGAGGCCAGGGACACCATTTCTATCCCCTGGCTAATAGCCTTTTATGGACCTAACCTTAATGAAATTATCTAGCTTCTCTTTAAACTTTATTATAGTCCTAGCCTTCACAGCCTCCTCTGGCAAGGTGTTCCACAGGTTGACTACACGCTGTGTGAAGAACTTTCTTTTATTAGTTTTAAATCCACTACCCATTAATTTCATTTGGTGTCCTCTAGTTCTTCTATTATAGGAACTAATAAATAACTTTTCTTTATCTGCCCTCTCCACACCACTCATGATTTTATATATCTCTATCATATCCCCCCTCAGTCTCCTCTTTTCTAAACTGAAAAGTCCCAGTCGCTTTAACCTCTCTTCATATGGGACCCGTTCTAAACCCCTAATCATTTTAGTTGCCCTTTTCTGAACCCTTTCCAAGGCCAAAATATCTTTTTTGAGGTGAGGAGACCACATCTGTACACAGTATTCCAGATGTGGGCATACCATAGTTTTATAGAGGGGCAGTAAGATATTCTGGGTCTTATTTTCTATCCCTTTCTTAATAATTCCTAGCATCCTATTTGCCTTTTTGACCGCCGCTGCACACTGTGTGGAAGTTTTCAGAGAACTATCTACGATAACTCCAAGATCTCTTTCCTGATTTGTCCTAGCCAAATTATCCCTCATCAGACTTTACGTATAGTTGGGGTTATTTTTCCCGATGTGCATTACTTTACACTTATCCACATTAAATTTCATTTGCCATTTTGTTGCCCAATCACTCAGTTTGGTGAGATCTTCTTGGAGTCCCTCACAGTCTGCTTCTGTCTTGACTATCCTAAACAGTTTGGTATCATCTGCAAACTTTACTACGTCACTGCTTACCCCTTTCTCCAGATCATTTATGAATAAGTTGAAAAGGATTGGTCCCAGGACTGATCCTTGGGGTACACCACTAGTTACCCCTCTCAATCTGAAAATTTACCATTTATTCCTACTCTTTGTTTCCTGTCTTTTAACCAGTTCTCAATCCAAGAAAGGACCTTCCCTCTTATCCCATGGCCATGTAATTTACACAAGAGCCTTTGGTGAGGGACCTTGTCAAAGGCTTTCTGAAAATCTAAGCATACTGTATCTACTGGATCCCTCTTGTCCACATGTTTAACCCCTTCAAAGAACTCTAATAGATTAGTAAGACATATTTTCCCTTTACAGGAAACCATGCTGACTTTTGTCCATTAATTATGTTCTTCCACATGCCTCACAATTTTATTCTTACTATTGTTTCGACTAATTTGCCCGGTACTGAAGTTAGACTTACCGGTCTGTAATTGCCAGTATCACCTCTAGAGCTCTTTATATATTGGTGTCATGTTGGCTACCTTCCAGTCATTAGGTACGGTAGCCGATTTAAAAGATAGGTTACCCTTGGATGAATGCCATCTGGTCCCGGAGATTTGTTAACATTAAGTTTTTCTATTTGTTCCAAAACCTCCTCTAATGACACTTCAATCCGGGACAGTTCCTCAGATTCATCACCCACAAAGGACAGTGCAGATATGGAAATCTCCCTAACATCCTCAGCCATGAAGACTGAAACAAAGAAATCATTTAATTTATCCGCAATGGCTTTGTCGTCCTTGATTGCTCTTTTTATATATCGATTGTCCAGGGGACCCGCAGGTTTTTTTAGCAGGCTTCCTGCTTCTAATGTACTTAAAAAACATTTTGTTGTTTCTTTTTGAGTTTTTGGCTAGGTTTTCCTCAAACTTTTTTTGCTTTTCTTACTACATTTTTACACTTGATTTAACAGTGTTTATGTTCCTTTCTATTTATCTCACTAGGATTGGACTTCCACTTCTTAGAAGATACCTTTTTGTCCCTCACTGCTTCTTTTATATGGTGGTTAAGCCATGGTGACTCTTTTTTAGGTCTCTTGCTATGTTTTATAATTTTGGGTATACATTTAAGTTGGGCCACTATTATGGTGTCTCTCAAAAGTTTCGTTGCAGCTTGCAGGGATTTAGCTCTAGTCATTGTGCCTTTTAATTTCTGTTTAACTAACCTCCTGATTTTTGTGTAATTCCCCTTTTTGAATTTAAATGCCAGAGTGCTGGACTGCTGAGGTGTTCTTCCCACCACAGGAATGTTAAATGTTGTTATTATGGTCACTATTCCCAAGCGGTCCTGTAACGGGTATATCCTGGACCTGATCCTGCACTCCACTCAGAACTAAATCAAGAATTGCCTCTCCCCAAATTGAGAATTGCCTCTCCCCTTGTGGGTTCCTGCACTAGCTGCTCCAAGAAGCAGTCATTTAAGCCATTGAGAAATTTTATCTCTGCTTGTCTTCCGGAGGTGACATGTATCCAGTCAATATGGGGATAATTAAAATCCCCCATTATTATAGAGTTCTTTATTTTGGTAGCCTCTCTAATCTCCCTCAGCATTTCAATGTCAGTATCGCTGTCCTGGTCAGGTGGTCGGTAGTATATCCCTACTGCTAATTTCTTATTATTGGAGCATGGAATTACTATCCATAGCGATTCTATTGAACATGTTGATTCACTTAATATTTTTATTTCATTTGATTCTACATTATCTTTCACATACAGTGCCACTCCGCCACCCACCCGGCCTGCTCTATCCTTTCTATATATTTTATATCCCGGTATGATTGTGTCCCACAGATTTTCCTCATTCCACCAGGTTTCAGTGATGCCTATTATGTCAGTCTCCTCCTCTACGAGGTACTCTAGTTCACCCATCTTATTAGTCAGACTCCTAGCATTTGCGTAGAAGCACTTTAAAAATTGCCATTGTTTGTCTGCCCTTCCCTGATGCATCAGATTTTCACTCTCTTTTCCCTTCTATCACTCCCTGGAATATGTCTACTATCCCTTGTAAACAGTCATATTAATAGATAATATCTTTTTTGAGCAGATAATAGAATAACACTGTCAAGGGTCTATTCTTTTATCAGCACACAATATTTGCATGTTCAAACTCCATACAAGCTACTGAGAGATGAATAAATCTCATGTACATCTGTTGAAGAATAGTCCCCCTCCTTCCCCATCTTGTCAACATGGAGGCAGTGAGATGGATTATATAGTTTGTGCAATGCCATGTCAAAAAAAATACAGCAAAAAAAGTGAAACATTAGCTATTGTACTTGGCAAAATTTAGTCCATCTTCAGCCATGAGAGTCTGCTTAATTGTTATAGAAGCTTTTCCTATTGAAATTATGCAGCAAAGAAGCATAAACCAAACATTTGTGGTGGACAAACTTGCTCCCACTGTTCAGGAACTAGCTACATTATAATACTGCATGGGGGAAGTTCATGTACCCCAGAAATGAGAACTGTGCCTCGGTCTCACCTCAAGAGCTGGAAGGCTAGGGAGCTCCAACTCCGAATAATTTTATTTGAGATAGCAATTCAGCCTGAGGACTCTAAAGCCTGTCTGCCATTGGGGCAGGCTCCCAGAAAGACTGCCACTTCACTGTTGCCTCACAAGTGGGCTAAGAAGGGGCTGTCTCCCTCTAAATCCCTGCCCCCAACTCCATCCCCTAGAGTGGTTGGAGGGAGCAAGATGAAAACCCCTGGCACTGGGGAATCCAGGGCTTGAACCAGCACCGCAGTCACCTCACCAGGCGCAGCCCAGCACTGAAAAGAGCTGCATCAGCACAGGAGAGCTCTTGCCAGCATGCCTGCACTCTGGTGCTGGTGTTACTGAGAGACGCAGTACTGAGATATGTGCCTCCGTTGAACAAGCAGTCCTCGCATGAGGGACTGTTGCCAAATGCGAGCTCCTGGCTCAATGCCACCCCTCATGGAGGCTCCAGCACAGGTACATTACAGCCAGGTAGACACAAGCAGCAGGCAGGGTGTTTCACCTCCTCCCTGCAGAGAGGCTTCCCTGCTGCCTTTCTCACCATGTGTTTCCCCATGCTATGCGAGGTCTCCTGTATTCTGAGCGTGCTTCCTTTGGCCAAGACGATCAGTGCAGTATGTTTTTTATCACAGTACTCGTCCCCCACTACCATCTTTACTGTTACTATTACCACGAGAAACCACAATACCTTCCTTGGTACTTGGAGTGGCCATACTCACCACCCTGCTATCCTCCCTACTGGTCACCATGAGACCACTGTGGTCCATGGAGAAGACTTTCTACTGCACCATCTATCCCGGTAAGGAGACTTCCTCCACCCTCGCTCTCTCGCACTGTGCCAACCACTGTGGACTCAGAATTAGAGGAGGGTCAGTTCCCAGATGAACTCACTGAGTTACAGGACCACACAGAATTCCCTTCTGATAACTCTTCATCATATCCTGACAAAGCTATAATACCAGATGATACTCACCCGACAGACAATCTAAAACAAATCCAAGACCTGTTTAAGAGGGCCAAGATATCCATCTGCACAAAGTCAAGGAGAAATAACATCAACTCCTAGAAAACACCACTCTTCTTTGCAGGGAAGAATCACACTGCCCATCGATGAGTCTATCATGGAGATTTCCAATTAAGTTTGGCAAACCCCTGCCTCAGTTCAACCGTGTAAAAAGGCCAACAGGAAGTACTTCATGCCACCAAAAGACTTAGACTTCCTTTTTTCACATCCGCAACCAAACTCTGTCATCATGGACACTGCCAATCAATGTGCAAAGGCCCCTCAGGCCAGATCAGCATCCAACAGGGAACACAAAAATGAAACCTATTCAGAAGAAAGGTGTGTACTCTTCAGCCACACTACAGCTAAGAATTGCTAACTACGCAGCATTGCTAGTAAATCATGACTTTGAGAACTATTCCAAACTGGCTGAGCTCATGGAACATCTACCAGATTCCAGAAGTCCCATACTCAAGTCAGTCATCCATGAAGGGTACATTGTTGCTCGTACAGCCCTTCTTTCCTCAATAGGTGTAGCTGACACAGCAGCCAGGGCAACAGCCACAGCAGTGGTGATGAGAAGGGCTTCATGGCTTCTATCAGCCAGTGTACCCAAAGAACTCCAGTCAAAGATAGAGGACCTTCCATTTGGTAAGTGCAAGCTTTTTCAACTAGTACTGATGAAGTCCTGCATCGCAGCAGGGACTCCTGCACTACCCTTCGTATACTCAAAAAAAAACAAAACCTCATATATACCCCTCCATGCTGCTGAAAGCATAATACAACAAAAACAGAGGCTGCTACTATGACTGCGCTCCACAAAAGCCATATAACTACAGTCGTAGACAACGACCCCAGAGGAAGCGCCTACCTCAAGTCCTCCGGTCTCCTCCGATACTCAGGCAGAAAAGCAGCAAATTTGAAGATTTGGTTGAGGGCCTGCCCCACCTCCCAGTTCATCCTTTGCCAGAGAGCCAGTACCATCTCTTTACTTAGTCCCTTTTACCATCAATGGAACATTATAACATCAGATCAGTGGGTCTTAGAAATCATCTGCAAAGGATACGTCATTCTTTCACGTCACTTCCCCCTACCCGTCCCCCCCTTCCCCGTCCTTCAGGGACCCCTCTCATGAGACTCTTCTCAGAGAAGCAATCAGCCACCTCCCACACTTGGGAGCGATAGAGAAGGTCCTGGACATCTTTCGGGGGAGAAGTTTCTATTCCAAGTATTTTCTAACACAGAAGTGCACAGGGGTTGGAGACCCATATTAGATAGAGATCTAATAAGCTAAACAAATTCCTGCAGAAGCAACAATTCAGGATGGTAACACTGGCCTCGATTATACTGGCTCTGGATGAAGCAGACTGGTTTGCAGTCCTCGACCTTCAGGAAGCATATTTCCACATTGCCATACACCCATCACACAGACGATACCTTCGATTTACTATGGGTGATAACCACTACCAGTACAGAGTCGTGCCATTCAGGCTGTCTTCCTCCCCCAGGGTTTTCTCAAAGGTCCTGGCTGTAGTCACAGCCTATCTCTGACAGCAAGGCATCATGATCTTTCTATGCTTAGACAACTGCCTTATAAAAGGCCAATCTCAGGTGGTGACTACCACTATGGTCACCAAAACCAGGCGGCTCTTCAATCATCTGGGCCTCCTAATAAATGAACAGGAGTCAACCCTTCAGCCTGCACAGGGCATAGAGTTCATTGGGGCCTGTCTTGATTCGTTGTCTGCCAGTTGACTCCCACTTCACCAATTCACAGCCCTATGCGATCTTATCAACATATTGACCACAACTCCTACTGCTACAGTACTTACCTGTCTCCAGGTAATGGGTATACGGCTGCCACTGCTTACGATGTGCAGTATGCACGCTTCCATTTCACAGCCCTACAATACTGGCTAGTGTCAGTTTACAAGCCCGCTTGTCATCCCTTGCACAAGTAAGTCACAGTCCCAAAGAAGGTACTAGACTCACTTACATGGTGGACAGGACCCAACAACCTCCTAGTAGGGCTTCCTTTCCATTGGTCTGAACCACTGATGCCTCTCTCATTAGCTGGGGAGCACACCTGCATCAACATGCAGTCCAGGGCATATGGTCGCAACATGAGTCCTCGCTACACATCAACCTGTTTGAGCTCAGGGCTGAGACGACTGAGTGCAGCACTTTCTTAACATCATTGCCAACCACATCGTTCATATACTTACCGATAATGACTCCATGTTTTATATAAACAGGCAGGGAGGAGCTCGTTCCCCATCACTCTGTGCCAAGATGATCCTCCTCTGGAACAGGTGCATCCACCATGGGATCACCATCAAACCCTCATACTTACCTGGGGTGAACAACTTTCGGGCGGATGCTCTGAGTTGCAATTTTGCTATCGATCACGAGTGGGAACTACATCCTCTGGTACCTCCATCTTTCGTCACTGGGGAATCCCAACCATAGACCTTTTTGTGACTCCCCACAATACTAAGTGTCTCCAATTCTGTTCGAGCCAAAGTAGATGGGATCTCAGGGCAATACATTCCTTATCCGCTGGAATGTGCTGCTGCATTGCACCTTTCCACCCATTCTACTCATTCCCAGAATTCTACATAAGATTCAAATGGACAGAGTGCTGGTCATACTGATAGCCCCATCCTGGGTCAGATAGACTTGGTTCCCATGCCTACACATGATGTCCATAGCCATGCCATATCGTCTTCCATTTCGTCATGACATCCTATATCAGGATTGGGCAAACTGTTCCACTCCCAACTTCAAACCATCCACCTCCATGCGTGGCTCCTGTTTGGTTCCACAGGGCAGAGTCCCTATGCTCAGAACAAAGTAGGCCATCAGCTAGGACTGCCTACCTGCAAAAATGGAAACGATTTTCTGCCTGGTGTCAGCAGACTCACACCGACCCTCACAGGGTACCGCTCCATCAGATCCTCAATTATCTGTGTCATCTTAACACTGGAGGGCTATCGGTCTTCTCCATGAAGGTACACATTGCAGCAAAATCAACTCTTCACGAATGAATAGATGGCTCGTCTGTCTTTGTACACCCCATAACAAGAAGATTTCTGAAGGGCCTCCACAACCTCTACCCTCATGCCACTTCAGTTTCCATGGCTTTCCTCCCTCCCCCTTAAAGACATTTACTGAGCAGCCACCTGGTCATCAGATTACACCTTCACTAGGCACTACGCCATAATGCTGCAACTGACAGCTGACTCAGCAGTGGTTACTGCAATATTATCCGCAGTTGCTAACAGTGATTCTGATTCCTATCATCCATTACTGCTTTGTAGTCACCTTATGTGGAACACCCACCGGGACATCACCCGAAGAAGAAAAGGAAGTTACTGACTTGGTGCAGAAATGATTGTACTTTGAGGTGTGTCTCCCCGTGGGTGCTCCACAACCCTCCCTTTCTCCCCTCTCCTCGGAGTCTTAGTTACTCTGATGTAGAAGAGGAACTTAAGTGGAGGGAGGGGAGGGTCATGTGTCCAAGGCGCCAGACTGAAGGCAGTGTGAGGCTCCTAGACAACTGTTGAAAAAAGCTCTTCTCCCTGACACATCTACACCTTATGTGGAGCATCCATGGGGGGGGGGGACACCTCAAAGAACAGTCGTTGCCGCACAGAGTGAGTAACTTCCTTTTACCAGCATCTCCCTAAGTCCCACACACGATCAGGTCCATGAGATCTAGGAACAGAGTTTGGACAAAACTGAAGTCTACCGCTGCACATCAAAATCACAGGGAATTTGAGTGGCTATGTCCATGTTGCATGATGTAAATGTTTCTTGCTCAGTGCTCTAGGGGAAGATATCTCTAGATGACCCCTCTGAGGGCTTTGCCCTGGGGGAAAATTTGTTCCCTATTCTTAATTTAGCTGTCAGCTGTGCGCAGATGAAAGAGGAAAAACACCCTGATGAAGTATGTAACCCTGCTCGTAATGGGAGAGAATGTTAGAGAGCTAGCACAAGTTATAACTGCATCAACATAGACCTCATCAGCATGCAAATAAGAGGCCATTCCCATTTTTTGAATCTCTCTGCATCTGTGCAGCTATAGCCAGCATGACCAGGGCAGGAAATTTCACATGCTGATTGCTAGGAGAGTGCTTCATTCCCCACTGTCTGGTTTAGACTAACCCTCAGACAAGAAGCAGGGCTGAGCCTCAGACCTGCCAGTGTTACAGACATGAAGTTCCTTTTGCCGTGCAGAGTGGTGTTAGCATAGCTGATTTGTTTTAACCTATGTCAATACAGTCAAATGAAAAACTTCATGCCACTGCTGAGGTTTGTGGCTTTTATCTCTTAGCAGCTGAAGAGTAGTTGAGTCAGTGACCAGAGCTGCATACAGACACATGCTTTTATACCAGCTCAGCAATTCCTGCATTTAGTTAAGTGCAGGTGCACAACATAACCATATTACCATTTCCAGGTACTTATGAAAATTCCCAGAGCTTGGTAGTGATAAGTAACTCTTGAAAGCAAGGATGGTCCCAATGTCCTGCTCACAGCTACATCGGGGGCAGCGTGGAGGGATAAGTCCAGTTGATTCAGCCCCTTTGCATAACTTTTGACATTTCAATTGGTTTCTGCCTTCAGCATCAGTGGACTGGGGAGGAATATCATCCTGACTACAATGCCAGCTGGGACAAAACTTATTGCTGGAAACAAGCCAGTGAGCTTCCTGACAGCACAACAGTTACAGCAGCTGCAGCAACAAGGGCAGGCCACGCAGGTAAGGATACTTGGCAAGACTTTAGGTCTTTGCTTTAAGACTCTTCACTGCAGTAGCATTTTCATGCAGGTTTTGCCCATGAAGACACTAGGGTCCATGGACATTTGGTACTCATTCTGCAAATGTATGTCCGTGGTGTTTGCACCAGGCACATTTAGTTCATTTTCCTCCCTCCCCCCTCGCCGTTTCCTTCTGTTTATATCAGGCCTGCACAACTCGGAAAACGGCGAGGACCATATTACTCCAAAGAAAACAGCTGCGGGCCGCAAGGGTAGGTTTTGGGGGGAGGAGGGGTGATACTTTATTAAGAATTTTTCAATTAAATCAGGCCTGCACAACATATGGCTCCCAATGCCCTTCCCCTCTCCTCTCCCAGCATCACCCTGTCCCCCCCTCCCACTGACACTTCCCCCTTGCCCTTTCCCTCATTGTCTCCACTTGGCCCCCGGGCATTTGTCTCTCCTGCACCCTGCTCCTTGGTGCCTTCCCCTTTCTCCTGACCTGCCCCCCTCCCCTCAGCACAAGTCCCTTCCCCTCCCCTACCTGGCTTCTGCCTTCCAGTTTGTGGGGCTGCCGGAGCCTTTTTGAATCCGGCGTTCACCTGCCATGACATCACAACGCCATGTCACACCAGCATCCTGGTGTCTGCCGGCATCCTGCCTTCTGGCTCACACCCCACCTCCTCACGCCGGAGCTGCACGCAGGCAGCCCGGCGGCGAGAATTGCCACACTTTCCCCTCCCCAGCGATGCTCCGCTCCTCCACCCGGCCAGCAGCTCAGATGGGGCTGTGCTGCCTGTAGTTGTCACGGGCTACACAGTGAGTGCCTGTGGGCCACATGTGGCCCGCGGGCCGTGTTGTGCAGGCCTGGTTTATATAACATCTGGATTTACTTTGTTTTAAATGTTAATGAAATGAGCTGCTGAATATCAAGGATGAAGAAAAAACATTTATCAGGCAAGCCGGCAGCTTTTCTCCCTCTGCTTTGCTTGGGGCTAAAAGAATTGTATCTTAAGCTTACAGATACTTTGCACGTCTCTAGCACCTTCCAGCCAGAGATCTGCTGCTTGAACTCTCTCCTGAGACAAATTATATCCATGTGCCTCAGTTTCCCGTTCATAAATTTGATATAAGAATAGTAACTGGGGGTTGCAGAATATTTTGAGAGCCTATGACACAAGGCCTGTTGAAATCCAGAGCATCTAACAGATAAAATTCCTTTGGAAAATCTGAAAGCAGCTGAGATTTGGGGTTTTTTCGAACTAGTGGTTGTTCCTTTTTCACCAGGATCTCTCTCTCTTCCCTTTCCCCCTACTTCACCATCACTGGATGCATTTAACTTTCTGTAGCCCAGTGGTCTCCAGCCTTTTTAAGCATGAGATCACTTTTTTTGAATTTAAGTTCAAGCCAGGATCTACCTCAGACCCAAATACTATTGCTCCACTTCCTTCCCGCCCCTTCTCTAAGGCCCCACCCTTGCTCTCTCCATCCTTCCTCCCTCCCTCCCTCCCTCCCTCCTTCCCTTTCACCAGGCAGGGGAAGAGGGTTGGGGGAGCAAGCTCTGGTCTTGGATTAAGTGATTTGGAGTGCAAGAGGGCTTTGAGCTGAACTTGGGGCAGGCATTTGGGGTACCGGAGGGGGTTCTAGGTGCAGGCTCTGAGAGGGTGTTTGGATGCAGGGGTACTTGGGGCTAGGGCAGAAGCTTGGGGTGCTGGAGGGGGGTTCATGACTAGGGTAGGGTTTTTGGGATGTGGGCTCTGACTGGGCAGTGCCTCCCTCAGGTGGTTCCTGGGTGGTGGTACACACCCCTGCCCCTGCACCACTCCCAAAAGCAGCCAGCCAGCTCCCTCCATCTCCACCCCCCCACACACACTGCTCTGTGGATATAGGATACAGGGTGGGAGAGGGGGCACCTCTGCCCCTCTTTTCCCTCCCCTGCCCAGCACAGAAAGCAGGAGGCTCCTGGAGGTCAGGGGAGGCAGCTCCAAGGCAAAGGGTGGGAGATGTGTAGCAGTCGGGGGAGGGGCAACTGAAGTGCAGGCACTTGACAACCTCTTGACCAAACCAGTCAGGTTCACCTGTCAGAGCCTCCAAGATCTACTGTATAGATCCCCATCTGCTGGTTGGTGCCCACTGCTGTAGCCAAACTTCAGTCATGACTTTTGGGCTAACCTTAATCTTGACTGTGACTGAAACAGTTGAAAAGTATGCCCTGAATTAGTGCTCCTGGCCCATTGGGATTGATGCTGTGTGCTCATGTGACCTCATATTGTGCTCTGGTGTGAATTAAATACTCTTTCATTTTGCACAGGTGCGAATTCAAACTGTATCGGCCTCTCATCTCCAGCAGGGAACAGTGTCGGGCTCTACCAAAGCAGTCTCCACTGTTGTTGTGACAACAGCGCCATCTCCGAAACAGACACAGGATCAGCAGTGAACATGAGCTGTGAAAAGGGAAAGCTTTCTAAGAACTTCTCTGGCCCTGTTGTCCACCCCATCCATCATTACTCAGGGCTTCTTAGGTGCTAACACAGACCGTACAGAGCAAGAGGCAGAGATTGTACCTGTGCCAAATGCGAAACATGCTGTTTGCCTAGAGTCAGAGTTGTGGTATTCAGTGGAAGCCTCAGTAGAGCAACACAGGACTCCGTACTTAAGAAGCTAAACCTCTCAGTCCAGAGTTGTAAAATCAAGTTCTATAACAGTAACTAATTAGAGATTTTATTCCTCTTTATTTGCTCCTTGTTCTGATCACCTTTTTTGCAAATGCTACCATTGCATTATGATATGGGTTAATTGTAGGCAGTCAGTCTAGGCTCTTCTTCAAGAGGGATTGGGTGACTCAAATCATGGACAAGCTTTGTTCTTGGTCTTGGAGTCCCGCTTTTTGTTCCCTTTATATCCTGTGGTGATGGATGTGGGTGGTGGCTGGTTTTATTGTTGGGGCTTAGCCTGCATGTAGTACAAATTCTATATATTTATTTTTATAACTTCTCTCACTTTCCAGCTCAGATTCATTATTGACTGCCATCACCATTTCACATTTTTGGAGAAACTTTCCCTTTGTTATCCTTGCAAAGGCCAAATAGAGGAGTCCCTTCCTGTAGCATGCCTGATGAAGATCTCTGCTGTAAAATAGCTAGTAACTATTGGAAGGGAGACTGCCCCCATGAGTCTGATTGCGAATGTGTTCAGAGCAAGGGAACAGTAAGAGCAATCTGCCAGGGAATTTTTCCTCCTTGCATTTCTCAGTGACTGAATTGTTATCAGCCGGAGAAGATCACAGAATCCTGTTTAAAAGGAAATGAAAACAAGCGGTCAGTTCTATCGGAGTTGCATTCACTATGACTCAATCAGGTGAAGTGTTTTAACCCATGTTGATGATGGCCTGGCCTTATTTGATTTTTTTAACCTGTCTACAGTTTTTAGCTTGATATGCAAAATCCCAACAACTTGTATGTTAAGTATCAGGAGATGAACTGATTTCTGCTCCCAACTCTGACATCACTGGATTTTTTTTCTCTGAGTCCATAGGAAGTGTCAGGGTAGGAAAAGAACAACAATGCAGAAAGTGGTTTTATTTACAACCTGTGTTCTATAGCTCTATTCACCTGCCACTTAGTTCTGACTGCTATCTCCCTTCAATTCTAGATAGACCATGAGGCTACATCTACACTGTAGCATTTTGTTGGCAGAAGAAATGCATATGAAGCGCTCATTAGCATTTCTCGCACTCATTCGCATAGTCTCTTCCAATATGTTCTGGGGAAGAGGTTTTTGCAGGGGGGAAAAAAGTGTAGACAGGGCCATTTTGCACAAAATATTCCTTTTGCACAAGATCCCTTTTCCCTCAAAAAACCTCTTCCGCAAAACAGATCAGAAGAAACTATGCAAATGAGAGTGCGAGAAATGCTAATGAGTGCTTCATTTGCATTTCCTCTGCCAACAAAATGCTACAGTGTAGATGTAGCCTGACAGTATAACAGCAACATTTTCTTTCACACAATGAAATGAAGTATAGTGGGATTATCTGATCTTCAAAGGGCTAATCGACTCTGTTCGTCTACATGTATAAGTTTCTTTAACATTGTTCCTCTTGTTTTTTAATCCACTGTTTGCCTTTGATACTATCATTGAATATAGTCTGTTTAAAAAAGAAAGCCCTGCTGTTCACTATCTTTGGTTACCTAGTTCTTGAGTCTGAATTCTGCGTGAAAGCATCAGTTGTAGCTGACTCAGGTACTGTGGTCTGGGCAGCATGAGGCTTTTGATCGAGTTGAGGCCTTGTATGTTGTGTATATTCTTCTAACTACATCCAACCCGCTTGGGAAAGTCAGATACAAAAAATATTTTGAGGCAGGTGGCAGCTGCAATTGAGCAGAGCTATATACATAAATATAGCATTTTAAAACACTCTCTCGAATTATGGATTTGTGCACGTAAAAAACAAGACCTGTAATGATAAATGCAGGACAATGTAGCACTTTAAAGACTAACAAGATGGTTTATTAGATGACGAGCTTTCGTGGGCCAGACCCACTTCCTCAGATCAAATAGTGGAAGAAAGTAGTCACAATCATATATACCAAAGGATACAATTAAAAAAAATGAACAAATATGAAAAGGACAAATCACATTGCAGAACAGGAGGAGGATGCGGGGGGGGGGGGGGGAGGAAGGAAGGTAAGTGTCTGTGAATTGATGATATTAGAGGTAGGGAGAGTGGGATGTTTGTGAGTTAATGGTATTAGAGGTGATAATTGGGGAAACTGTCTTGGTAATGGGTGAGATAGTTCAAATGTTTGTTAAGTCCTTGTTGGCAAGTGTCGAATTTTAACATGAATGACAGTTCAGAGGATTCCCTTTCAAGTGCAGATGTAAAAGGTCTTTGTAGCAGAATGCAGGTGGTCAAGTCATTGAGAGAGTGTCCCTTCTGGTTAAAATGGCAAGAAACTGTTTTCTCTTTGTGATCTTGTCTGATATCTGTTTTGTGGGCATTAATCCTTTGGCGAAGTTAATTAGCAGAAGTCGACTCTCAATCCAGTTCAAGACTTGGAATTCATAGGGGTGCGACGAGTTAATATCAGCCTGGGCATACCTGCCTTGGCAAAGATTCGATGCGCACTCAGCATTGTCCCCACCCTACTTGTCAGCCCCAATATGACAGTGCATACTTGCCTTCAGCTCCTGGGCCATATGGCAGCCACCATCTATGTGGTCCAGTATGCGTGCCTACACTTCCGAGCCCTGCAGCATTGGCTGACATCAGTCTATACACCATCGCTGCATTCTCTGCACAAGACAGTTGTTATACTGAGACGTGTCCTGGAATCTCAGAGGTGATGGACATCCCCCAGCAATCTGCTCAAGGAGATACCCTTCTTTCAACCAGAACCATCAGTCCAAATCACAGCTGGTGCCTCACTCATGGAGTGGGGTGGACATCTACAGCCCACACAGTACAAGGCAAATGGTTACCACACAAAGCACTACTCCATATCAATCTTCTAGAGCTCGGAGTGGTCAGGAACTCATGCAAGCACTTTACCTCATCCATCACTGTCGCGCCCCCCCCCCCTCCACTGGGGTTGCCGCCCTCATCCGGGGCATCCTCCAACCCGCTTGGCCTCAGCCTTTTTAGGGGAAATATGGCCCACTGGCCTCGTCCCAAAGTTCACTGCCCCTGCGGTAGGGGAAATACGGCCTCACGGCCTGGTCCTCAACACGCAGGCCCGGAGGCCTGGTCCCAAAGTTCGTTATCCCAGCCCCCACTCGCCGGGGTCTCGGGCAGCAGGGGTAGGGGGGCCCAAGCCCTCCCTCTCCACCAGGCCCCGACCCAGGGCCCTACGAGCAACGCCGCGGTCCCACCTGCTGGCGTTGGTCGGGTGGCTGTACTGGCACTTCCCCAGTCAGCGTCGGGGTCGGCCGTGTCCGGTCCGGCGCCTTGGCCCCCCTGTCCTGGCGACTCCCTCTCTGGCCGGTGGGCGCTAGCTCCAGCTCAGGCCGCAGTCTGTCCCTTCTGAGCAGGCCAGCAGCCTTTTATATCTCTGCTCCCCTCGGAGCATGCCCAGTAGGGCTGTGTGAGTGGGGCTCTCTCTGCCCCCGGCACCAGGTGGTTTCCCTGGGCTTGAGTGCGGGGCGGGGCCGCCCCGTCACAATCACCAACAGAACAGTCGTATCCTTATGGATAACAGGGCCACCATGTTCTACATAAACATACAGAGAGGAGCACATTCCCGATATCTCTGTGTGGAGGTGGTCTGCCTTTGGAACTGCTGCATCCAATGTGGGGTCACACTAAAAGCAGCATACTCACTAGGGCGAACAACACCTTGGCAGACGCTCTGAGCTGCAACTTCGCTAGTGAGCACGAGTGGAAATTCCACCCACAGGTATTAGATTCCATCTTTCGCAGGTGGGGCTATCCAACAATGGACCTTTTCGCAAATAGGAGGAGTGGCAAATGCCCTTGCTTTTGCTTCCAGGTGGGCCTGGGGAAGGGATCCAGAGGCGATGCATTCCTAATCCCATGGGACAAACCCATTTACTGTGCCTTCCTGCCAATACCACTGATCCCCCCCAGAATCCTGCGCAAGATCCGTCTGGACACAGCCTGGGTCAATCCTGGTCCAGACAGACCTGGTTCCCATATCTATAGCACATGTCCATCGAACTACCCCACTTGCTCCCTCAGTGGTGTGATGTCCTTTTTCAGAATGCTGGCAAGTTACTGCACCCAGCTCCACACACTCTTCATCTCCATACCTGGGTCCTGTCTGGTTTCAAGGCGCAGAAGTCGCCTGCTCAGAACAAGTAAGAAACATCCTCATGCATAGTAGGAGACAAACCACAAGAACAACTTACTAGCAAAAATGGAAACGCTTCTCATCTTAGTGGTGTCAGACAACTAAGTACAGACAAATTTCTGATCCACATGATACTCAACTACTTATATGACTTAAAGAGCGAAGAGCTACCAATGTCTTCCATATAAGTACACTTGTCAGCATTACAGCCTTTCATGACCGCATAGACGGGTCATTGGTGTTTGCACATCCTGTGATAAAGACATTCCTTAAAGGCCTTCAGAACCTCCACCCACCTTGTAGAACACCAACGCCCTTGTGGGATCTGAATTTGGGTCTGGAGACCCTTTCTGAGACCCATGGCCACATGCCCACTATTGCTTCTCACAATGAAGGTGCTTTTTCTGGTGGCAATCACGTCCGCAAGGAGGGTGAGCGAGTTAGGTGCTCTAATGATGGGCCCACCATACATGGTACTTACTAGAGATAAAGTGACTTTGAGATCACATCCAGCCTTTATACCGAAAGTCAACACCTGCTTTCACATTAATGAATCCATAGTCTTAACTGTGTTCTTTCCGAAGCCACATACATCGCCTACACATACCAGGCTTCATACCCCCGCTGTCAGAAGGGCTTTGGCTTTTTACATTGACAGAACTCAGACATTTTGCAAGTCCCCATGTCTGTTTGTTTCTATTTCAGACTACTCCAGGGGCAACCCAATTTCCACACAACGCATTTCTAAGCTAATAATGGGTTGCATCCTCCAGTGCCACTCCCTTGGTAACAAACAGCTGAAGATGGCACCAAAGGCATACTCCACCCGTGCTACAGCAACATCCATGGTGTTCCATAATAGGGTTCCCCTCAAGCCATTTATTGGACAGCTACGTGGTCATCGGACCACACGTTCTCAAAACATTATGCCATCATGCCCCGACTGGCTAAGGCAGTTCTATCTGCCATTACGAAGCAGTGACTTACAGTCCCACCAACCACAGCAAGCACTGCTTTGTAGTCATCTACAGTCCCTGTGGGTGCTCAACATCACCCGAAGAAGAAAAGGATGTTACCTTGTGCAGTAATGACCGTTCTTCAAGGTGTGTCCGCCATGGGTGCTCCATGACCTTCCTTTCCTCCCAATTGCTCTGCGATATACGAGGGAAGGGAGTCGGGTCACACTCAACTGTCAAACCGCCAGTAGCGTGAGAGGCTCATTGCACATGTGCGGCCTGACTGCTGACTAACTGCTATGACAAAGTCTCTAATCCTGCAGCTCCAGGAAAGACCTATCACCTACAGTGGAGCACCTATAGAGGGACACACCTCGAAAAACAGTCATTACTGCACAAAGTGATTAACTTTGGGGGGGGGGGGGGGGGCGGTGACCTAAAACAAATGTTCTGGTTGGTCTTAAAGGGCTAGGTACACAAAACAACCAGAAGAGGATGTTATTCCTTTCCTCTGTTTTGTGAATAGCATCTGAGCCTGGGGTGGAATGAGGGGAAATCATGTGACTTTGGGTTGATCAGAATTGCATCTTTTCAGAAAATTGTTACTTTTTTTTTGCCAAGCTATAATCTAGATTGAACACGGACCAACATCACCTACTCTTTGAGTTAGGGACAGTCCATACCCTGGAGAGCTTACAATCAGAATAGACTAGATAGTATTGGAAAGGAACCATTGCTACTTTCATTTTTTTACAGCTGATTAATCAAAGTACAGAAAGGTCAAGTGGCTTGTGTAGAGTCATGGAGGAATGTTGTGGAGGATCTAGGAACTGATCTGTCCATTTCTTTTCTTGTTAGTTATTTGTGGGCCTGTCATGGGGGACAATGGGGGAGCCACAGATACTGTAGGGTTTTGTTTCTCTCCATTGGGCTATGACTTTTCTGGGTGGTCTGAGGGAACAGGAGCCAAACTGCAGAATGCAGTGCTCACTCTGCAACCTTCTCCTACCATGTCCCATCCTTCAGGGGCAGAGCCAATCCTCTGCCGAGGGCTTCCACCTCCTAGGGGCAAGACCCAACACCACTC